AATTCCCAAGTATGGGGACCACATAGTCACTGTATGAAACAAGAATAAGCTTTCTGGAAGATGAAATCCACTGTCACTCTCACTGAAACACGTTTTTCTTGGTTCCTAAAATGTGCCTGCTTTTTGTGTTAAACACCAGGAAAAGAGGAATAAGAGCCATTCAGCATACCTCTGTTTTTAGTTTTATCCTATTAAGGAAGACTGGCTCTTTAACAAACACTAAGAACAAAATGCTGGATATTGTGAATGTACTGTGCAACTGTGACAGGCACTGATCTTCATTGTACCTCGGACCTAACCAATGAACTTCCTGCAGAACCCGCTTTCCTGAAACTTTAACGTGCAGATAAATAGATAGTTCCACTCAACATGCTAGAGGACCCAGGAGCTGACGAGGATTCACCTAGAAGGTCATGCTAGAACTGACTGGGAGAACAGTGAGGGGATTTACCACATCATCTGACACAACATGGAGAAATGATAAACAAGAAAACAGGAAGTGGAAAATGGGGGTGACACTCATTAATTATAGTTCACAAAACTGGGAATTCCAGGTGTGTGTGGGGTGTGTGTGTGCGTGTGCGTGTGCGTGTGTGTGTGTGCGTGTGTGTGTGTGCATGCCTGTGGGTCTGTGTGTGTGTTTAATACCAAACCCAGCTTCCAGCAGGCCAGGAGAATTATGCTGAAACAGCCAAGACCTGCACTGCTTCAAGTAGCACTTGAAGAAAATGTGAATGTCATGGCAATAGATTGTACAGGTGTGACCCAGGACACCCACAGGGAGAAAAATCAGGGAAGAGATGTCATCCCTACAAGTATCACTTCTCTGACCACACTACTTAAAATATTTTGAGTTCTTTTTTGAACAGGAAGCAACATTTTTTTTTTGCTGTTTCTTACACAGATGTTGTTAGATTTTTCTGTCTCCACAACAACAACAACAAAAAATCAAAAGCAACCATTTTTAAAGTAATTGCACATTTCAAGCCATATGTTTCACTCCTCTCTCTTATTGAGTATCATTCTCTTAGGACTGGCATAATTCCCCCCTTAAATTGGAGTTTTGCATAAGTAATTATATCAAATGATGTGTTTGTTTATATCTCCAAACCACATTCAAAGCCTGCCTATGATTTTTCTTTGAAGTTCAATTCTATCATGTCACTCCTCAATTTAATGTGTCTAATGGGTCTACATTTATATAGGTGACATACACGCCTCTCTTACAGAGATTGTATGATGGAGTTGCCTTCACAATAGTGAGCCAGAAAGGTTGAGCAGGGACTTCTCTGTTTTTTCTTCCTTTCTACTCCCTTCATTGTAAGGCCCAAATAAACTACACCAAAATAGTAAAAGATGCAGACACAGTATTGATAATTTTAATTAATTCTTCTAGACTGTGGGGCTGCGGATTTAGCTCAGCAGCATAAGTGTCTGCCTTGCAAGCACATGGTCATGAGTTCGATTCCCCCCTCCCCCCCCCAAAAAAAAAAGTTTGTGGAATTCTTCTAGACTGTGAAGGCTGGCTCACTGTATTCCTTTCTGACACTTTCAAAACAGCAGTGTTACAATTCCATGTCTCATCCTGAGTACGTACTGATAGAAAGAAGAAGGCTTTTACTCCTTCTTGGTTATGCTGACACTAGCTTGATAACAAGTTTTACTTTTCAGTGCAGTAACTAGTAGTTATTGCTTTGATCCAAAAACTGTCATTGTTTCTAGGTCCCAGATTCCCATGGACAAAATGATCACTTTATCTACCTCTCTTTATGCCTGAATACATACATACATTCATTTGTTCACTCATTCATTTACCAACCTTTACCAAACAAGCATTCAACTGCATTGTTAAATTTAAAAGGCAGGGCTTTCAATTTCTTGTTGCTTTTTAACAGCTTTAGTGTTATATAACATATATAAAATAAATAGCATTCATTCTTTTAACATTCTACCTCATATACAATGTGATGATTTTCAGAATCATTACAAATAGTGCCACCATCACTGTCGTCTTATTTAGAAGTTTCTCTTTACTCCAAGAAGCAACTCACACGTGTTCCTGGTGTTTCCACTTTTGATTTGGCATGCCTTTTATTTCTTTTGCTTATATCTGTGAAGATAACAGAGACAAGAGCTCCAAAAGCTGAAACCCACAGAGACTTTCCTGCCACACCTCTCTAGGAGCAGGAGCTGCCTGCCTTCACGCAGCCCAGGTTTAATGTCATATATGTTATTTAAGGCATTTCAAGCAACCAGTCTCTTAAGCTAACAAACGTGTGATAAACACATCCTGGTGAAGGGATGCAAATGGAAGGAGACCATGCTGCTTTCTCAGTCACATGCAGACATAGTGAAAATAAAAGAAAATCCCAAAGAACTGCCCCAAAAATCTTTAGGAGAGGAAGCTGACCTCTTCTCTGTCAGTTCTCTCTGAATGACCCTAAGCATGGAAGGATACTGATGACAAGAGACTCCTAAAGGGGATGGAGAGCCAGATGGCACCTGCTCTTTTGTGTGCTAGAGCCACAGATAAGCATCAGAGTAGAGACTCACAGTCTTTTCACCGGTTTGCAGCCTCCATATAACAAGTGTTCTGAGACCCATTGTGAATCCATTGTAAGAAAGGACAACTTTCTTGGTCCCTCACTGCTTCTCCCTGACATACGACTTTATCAGGCAGCATGTTGTGAAGATCATATATTAGACACCTGCTGCTGCAACCACACAGACCATTAATCAAGTGAATCAGAAAGCTGTGCTCCCTTTTCCCCCTTCATCACCTCCACCCTCTTAGCACTCACACATTATCTCCAGTCCTCTTCTGTCCCACATACATGCACATCAAGTCCAGTGGTCTTCTCTAGTGCTAGAGCAGCCTGGTGTGCTTCATTCTTGGGTGCAAATGGGCAGGCAGGAAAAATAAGTAAAAAGTCAGTGTGAGACTCAGCTAAGAATAGTAAATTTCAACAGTACCATTCTTTTAGCATCAGAGGACCAATTCAAGCCTCATCCAGAGAGATGCTGATTCACTAAACTAAGGGACGGAGTAGAGCACCAAATTTGTGCTTGCAGACTTGCCCAGGAGATGGGAAGCAAGGGATGGGAGGACACTGACCTCAGTGAAAACTCTTAGTGGCAGTCTTCTCTCTATAACCTCATCTTCATATTGATATTCAAGAATGCCCAAACCCCTCTATTCATATCCAGGAACACTAATTGATTTTAAATGCATACACTTGTAACATACACCCTCCCCAAACGCAGATACATTAAACACAAAACAATATAATTCTAAGTCTGGGAAAATTAAAAATTGGGACATAAGCCATCTCTTCCATATCAGTATTTATAGTTGAAAATTGTTGTGTTGTAGTTCTTTGTTCTAAGCCAGAAAAAATGTGTTATTGATAGGCAAGACCTTTGATGAAGTTCCTGTCAATCAATCAAGTGCAAAATTATAGACAAGCAAGTGAAAAATTGTGTATAGTGTAAAGCAGCCTGATACAGAAGGTACAAACTATGTGGGAGCCTATCAGATGGGCGTGCAAACCTGGGAAAGAGGGTCAGCAAATTTGGCTGAATTTGAAGAATCTGTGTATTGTACAGCATGCTGAATGTAACTGATAAGCATGTACTATACAATTCAAATCAATGGCAGGAAAATTTAAAGATTCTCACCATAAAACTAAATATTTTGGAAAAAGTACATGTTAATTCATTTGATTTGACTATTCCATGTGGTATGCATAGGTCATCCCTTGTACCCCATTTGCAAGTGTTGTCTACTGACAATGAAAAAGAACAAAAGTAAAGAAAGATCTCTGAGTGAGGTAGTGGGTGACCACATTCAGAATGAATTCACCGAAAGGTAGAACACTTGCGCCGTGGTGACACTGGTTTGCTCTCCAGAGAGGTTGCAGAATGGAGGGGACTGAAGCTTCTTAAGAGCCATTCTCTATGAGAAGAAAAGTACTTCAAAGGCTATAGAGAGTCATCTACTCTCCTATGGCTTCTTCTCAGCTTTCTCTAAATCTATGTATTCCCACCCACCACTCTGTTCAAGACAGAAGCTTCAGTTCAAGGGCTCCCTGTGAAACGTTTTCCCCATGCTGTGAAACCCACTCACCAGCATTAGGAATGAGCTTTTCTTGATTTTCTCTGTTCATTCCTTGCCAGTCAGAATACAACATGAAAGCAGCCCAACTCACATTTTCTTCATGGACATAATGGGATTGAGAAATGGGAAATAAACTTGACCTTCTAATTACCTTCTGACAATAAAAATAATGAAACCTGCCAATGACGTATTGACCCAATAAGCTGCCAGGCCTTGAAGGTTTTGGCTTCTCATTCCCCTTTCTTTGTCTTTATACTCAAATGGGTGATTCATTTATGAGAAACATCACTGAGGAAGAAAAGATAGAGATATTATCCATGTGGAACCTTTTTAGTGTAGAGATTTAAACATAAAATCATTGTATAAAATCTTTGGTAAGTTACTAAATTTGAAGTGATTATATGTACAAGTAATTATTACAAAAAAAAACTTTTTTAAAGTGTAACCAAAATTATATAAGCCTATAAAATTAAATTTTAGAAATGCTTTTTCATAGCCTGAATCTAATCAATGTCAACAACCTATTAATTTGTTCAAGAACTTTAAAATCTTTAATGAGACTCCTACAGTAGAATTTCAGTCTTATATAAATGAATCTTTAAAAAATCTTCATTATGAGAAAACCGATGGTTCTTTAGTGAGTTCATACATCCCCAAAGATGACAATACCTCCGTAACTGTGGTAAGCAGAGCTAAAACTATTTTCCAAATTTTATTAAGAAATTTTACTTTAAGAATAATTTTAAGACTTGTGATTGTTATGGGAAATCAAAGAGCTTCTGTTCCTTGTCACTTTTACTGTTCCTGTAACGACTTGTTTCCTACACTTAGTGAGCTATTTACCCCAGATACTTAAAAGTCAACTATTCTCATTTCTACACAGGTTTGATTACCACAACCTCGAGGAAACTGGATCGGGAACAGCAGGCAGAACATTTTCTAGAGGTAAGTGCATAGAAGGAGCTGGCATTCATTAAAACCGACTTTCACTAAACTTCTTTAACTTTCATCAGAAATGAGAACTTTAATATTTGAACAGTGGGTTTCAAATGCAGAGACAATTCTTTGGCTGATTGGTTCAGAATTCAGAAATTCCTTGTGCATTCCTCTCAGTGCCCTTCTGTGAGCTGAGCAAGGGCTATGAAGCAGCCTTTACTGTCCCCTAAAGACCGGCAGGTGTGTTGACATAGCTGCCTGAAGTTCAGCTCCCTCTGTCAATAACTGCAAAATAGGGTTCCTGCACGAGCCCATGAGCCGTGCAGCCCCGAGTGTAAGAAGAGAAAGAGCAACGGTGCTGCCACCAAACTGAAGCGCATCATCTGTGTTGCTTTCCTCCTTGTTCCTTGTTCAGGGAAAGAGGGCTGAGGAATGGAAGGCTGCTCGTTGATTCACAGCCTGAGATGACTGTTTCTGAAACCATAAAATGTACTCCTATAATTCATTAAGACAAGAACAGCCGCAATGAACTCCAAGAGCATTATTTCTGGAGAGGGAGAGGAAAAAAACCTATAAGGCAAGGGATGAGAAAACAGATATGAAAAAGGTTTTGCAGAAAATGCTTTCTATATGTATCAAGCATTGTTACTGGGGAACATAAAGTCTGGGTAGGTTGGTGGCACTGTGATTTAAATGTGGCAAAATAATGTGGAACAGAGGCAGTGCTCAGAATCTAGGACTTTGTTAAAGACCTATAATATCCCCGTGCTAATAAAATGATACTTTTGTTTCTAAGACCCACTTATTGGTATCTGTCCACCTCAGCTACACACACACACACACACACACACACACACACACACACACAGTCTTATGATAGCATCCTTTCTGGTGTCTTCCTTTAGGTCATTTCAGCAGTAATGATTTATTTAAAGACTGGTGAGCCAGAAATATGATTACATGTCTTCATCTGTGATGCTGTGATTAGCTTCGCGCCTTCAGTGATCCCATTTCATTGCACAAAACTCAGTTTTCCTCTCTGTGAAGTGTACTAAATAATTATTAATCCACCTACATATTAGGATCAAACTTAGTATCAATATATCTTTGAAATTTGTAAAGTATTACACATAACAAGGTATTATTATCATGCAGTAAGAACTGTGATAGTCCCTTTAAAACACTGCTATCATCTCATAAAGATAAAAGGCTTCCAACTGCCAAAAATAAATCTAATTCTTTTTTCACAATCATATCAATGGACTACAGTGTCCATTGGATCCAGAATCACAGTGCATTTACCAGAATAATAAAACCTTATGTTGTATTTATGTGCTTCTTTCCTTTCCAGAAGAGAGCCCAGGACACCTGGAGTGGCTGTGTTCTCGCATAGTTGAACCCATTACCTCCCAGCAGGAAGGAAGGAGGGTGTCTCATTAGCTGGGGAGTCTCGCAGAGATCACTGACTGCCTGCCCCTCACAACGTGGTGCAGTCAGGGCTGTGTGGTACAGAGTTCACATGAAGATGAAGCTTTGGTTGGGAAAAGAACAAGAGTGCTTTCCAGGCATTTGAGTTCATTGTCCAAAAGAATCCTTAATGGTTCCACATCCTTTACAGACTTACATAAATACAGAGTGAGAGTTCTTTACTTTGAACTCACAGAGCTTGAGATCTGTAACATAATTTCCCAGTACCTGCTATAATCTGCATGGGGAGGTTGAACAGGGTGTTGCTGTGTGATTAAAATATATGTAAAACATCTAAGCCAGTGTCTGGTGCTAAGTAGGTACTAAGAAAAGTATAGTTATAATCGTTCTGATGTTAGTTATTATCATGTGGTGATAATACAAGAAGCCTCCTAAACATTTAACTTCATCTCTGCACTACATGAAAGTTAGTCGCTTCACATACCTGAAATACAGAAGAAACCTGAGCAACAACATGCACTCACTATATTTCAGAGCCACAGAGTGAACAGAAGGAACAGGGTTGAGGGGACATGATGACTGATTAAATGCTGCAATGATTGAAAGAAGGTAACTTTACACTACTTGTGGTGGTTAAGCTAATCGTGTCAACTTGACTGACTTAGGAAACACTGAAGGACTAATACAGCACATTTCTGGGTATATCTGGGTCGGCCATGGAGACTTGACCTAGGATGTAATGTAGGCACTTATCCTTTCCTTTCTGGCATTGTTTCTCTGCTCTGCTTTTTGACCTCCATGAACCAGCTACTTTTCTTTGCCACACCTTTCCACCATCATATTTCTGCCTTGAAGCCAGCTGAGCATGGACAGATCCCCTGAAACAGTCTCCCAAATTAAACTTCCCAAGTATGGGTGTTAGGGATTGTGTCCCAGCAACAAGAAAGCTAAATAATACTCTACCTGAAAGTGTGGAGGGGGATGGTATGCAATATCCAGTAGACTGATTAGGGAGGCCTGTTTGAGGAGGAGGCATTTGCTTACATGATGCCACGATTCTGCTGAAGAAACAGAACTTTAGCCAGATCGGTGAGAAGTATAAAGGTACAGCAGGAGTATAGGGTAGGGGCTGACAGGAACCAAGTCAGGCAGGCTAGCCATCAACTGTAGTAGGGATTCAGAATCTTTTCTTGAGCTCAATAGAAAGCCATTAAACGAGGGTGACAGGATGTGATTGCCATTGCAATAGTAGTTGGCTAGATCAGGACACCAGGGACAGCCAGGGAACTGTGGCACCTTTTATAGAGATCCAGGTGACAGATAATAGAGGTTTGGATGAAGGTGAGGGCAGTGGGTCAAAAAGGAAACAGTCATCTAATATAAATCCTGTTGTGATTTCAGCTAACAAACAGTATAACCATTTTTCTGAAGTTTTCAGTGTGGAGACTATAAAGGCTGTAGATATATCTGAATTGTACTAATTTGCCCTGAAATATGCCCTACTGCTCACCAACTCCCAAGAGTCCTCCTTGGTTAGTAAATATCCTGCTAAGGCTTTCAAAAACCATCAGCTTCAATTTCTCTTTCTCCCTCTTTCGGTCTCCGTCTCTTTCTCTCCTTCTCTCCCTTCCCTTTATCTCATTCTCTCATGCTTTATCTTTTTCTGTCTCTCTCTATTCTCTTGTTCTCACTCTCTAATTTCTTGACTCTGTTGATTCTGTTCTCTGTAACACTGCTGGAGTGTTTAAACAATATCCCCCTCATTGTTTCTCAGTAGATTATGAGAGAAATATTAGCTAATTTAACCCTGTAAAACAATGATTAAAAACATAACATTGACAGTCCAAAGTGAAGTTTTTCTTTGTGTGTTTTGTAATGTAGGTACATTTTGTGAGTTGCAAGGGCTGGGTATGGATAATTAGCCTCCTGGAGAGTCTTTAATTGCCAGGATAACCTTATGCTCCTCTTAAACTCACATTAACCTTCTGGCTCTATTTTGTATTTCTCTTTTCCAGTAAAATAACATTGACTCTTCTTTGAAAGAAACTATTTAGAAGCTGACCTGGCAGGTACATATCTGAACAGATAACCAGGAGGACTTTAATGAGTTTATACTTTACTATCCCCATAATAGAAGGCACTTTAATTGTACACTGGGGACACTTTATACACTTGTTTAGGGCATTTAGCTTTATGTATCTCACTGTAAGAGTTTGTGTGTCTATGGGCATTAGCCTTAAATCTGCGGGTATCACAGGAAACTTGTCATTATCAAAATCCAGAGGACTTGTAAAGGAACACAAGTAGCAGAGAACCGAAGACAAATTCACAAGTACAGTTTACACTGCTTTGGTGAATTCTAAGCATTAACTCTTGCCAGATTTGGAAGTCTGTTGTGTACACACATTACCCTCATTTTGTCTTCTTCCCATAAAATGCAAAAATATACAGTTGTTAGTTCACTATCTCCAAATTCCAAAAAAAAGCACTAGAGAAAGGGCTGAGGATTTAGCTCAGTGGTTCAAAGGTTGTGAGTTCAATCTCCATCCCTTGATGGCCAGTTACAGCTTTAGAGGAGGTAGAAGGCTAGTTGCAACATATGCAACATATAGATACAGGGAGTTGGTAACAAACACATAATCTAAATGTAAATTAAAGTTTTAGTTTGGCGATTCGACTTTAGCTCTGATTACTTCATTATGCAGGAAGGAAGCTGTGAAATAGGGAATAAGCACACTTTCTCTTATAATCAGCTGCAGATTGTTTTAGATTGTTTTCTCACATATTAGATGTTTGAATTCCTCATGGGCCTGGAACTTGATTTATCAGTATAGTGAAGCAAGACACTACAGTGTGACAAAACTTGCATGTTAAATTCAGCGCTGAGAATATATTTCAGTACTGTTGATGAAGTTTACTAAGCTACTGAACCTCTCTGTACCTCCTATCTGAAAAGTCAGATATGACAATATCTTGGTCTAAAGAATGGATGAAATGACTGTGAAAATGTGCTCAAGATTGTATTTCTCAGACAGTGTTCGTTGCACGATGAGTTGGGACTGTGGTCTGCACAGAATGGCTTGCTCTCCTCTGTGTTCAGTGCAACCAGTTCAGCACTTGGAAAAGAAGGGGCACACAATAAGTGTGTGAGTGAAAAGAGTTACTCTGCCCCAAGTGAGATCACAGAGAGGACAGTGTTAGCCCGTAGGAAACAGCATGATTTTTGAGAGGCAGAAAGAATGAACACTGTCTTCTTCCATCTTCATGAGTTTGCCAAGTGAAATTAATTTCTATTGTCTTTTTCCTTTTGTGCAAAATGGGGATAGAAATACTTATCCCTTATGTTCCCTACATAGAGGGCCTGGTATAACCACTAACCACCAAACAACTGTTTCTCCCTTTTTCTTTCCCATACTCTCTTTTTTGCTTGTGTTCAATAAAACACCATCAGTTCTCTTTTTTTTTTTTTTTTTTTTTCTGTACTGCCTTATAGTAGTTTGAATGCCTTATAGCAATGTGATTATTCTTAAGAGATACATCTATTTAAATAATCCTATAGTCCTGGCTTAATTACGTGTGAA